TGCTGGGTGGAGGAGGGCTTGGAAGCTGGAAATTCTCAGCCTGACATCCTGCTACTGAACGTGATTGAAGAACATTCACATTGGAACATTTCTGTGCTTTAAGGAGACCAATCCCTTCAACTTCTTTGCAACCCCCGCTCCCAATTTTTAACACCTTTACAGTTAAAAATTGTACCTACAGCGGCATAAAAGCAGGCGAGCGTCGCGCTCCGGCTAACTCGGACACGTCGAATTCCTTACAGCAGAACTGGCATTGCCAGCCCACGTCCTTCTTTCGATAGGGTTATCCATGTTTCCTTCCATACACGCGTGTGTGCCTTATGCCTCTTTACTCTCGTGAATAATTATCCTCATTACACTGCCCCGTTGCTGCAGCTGTGGCCTGGTTGCAGCAGAAGTGATGGCTCAGGAGCCCCAAACTGCCATGAGCTCCTGAGAGACCCGCAGAGCCTGGTTGGCTCGGGTTTTTTTTTCCTTTTCTCTCCTCCCCATCCCTTTACGATCGCTCGTTTTCAAGCCAACAACCCTGAAGTTTCAAAGCCTGCCTTGAACCCCATGCATGGACCAGCGAGCGCCGAGGATGGGACAACCACCATTCAAGTTCAATGGTCAAGATGTTCTTACTGCTCAGTTATCTAAGACATCGGTATAGCAAAACCTACTGCAGGACCTGGGCAGTCTTGGCCCTTAGCCAGCCATGCTCTTTGGGGAAATCTTAAGAGCACCCTCGCCTGCACGGAGGTGGCGTGGCAGGACAAGGGGGATAGGCAGCGTTTTTGCCGACCGCTCGGCTGCCATGGAAATGGGTGGAAGCTGGACCACCGACCGAGATCAACAGCTCCTCTCTTGGAAACCTCACCTCCCATTTAATATCCAGGAGCTTGTTGTAAGGGGTGGGGGAAACGGGAGGTGAAGAAGGAACTTCACGCAATTCTCTGCGACATTATAAAAAAATGCAGCTCTTGGAAAAAATGTCCCAAGGAGGCAAAGCCGCTTAAGCTCTGCTCGGACTCAGGGAACAGCTCCAGAGACCTTTTTTTTTCCTGCATCGCAACAAAAGCTGCCGTCATCTCAGCAGAACTTGCAGGAATACCTTCTGGCTGGGAATTCATGGGCTTTGCCGTATTAATGCCTCAGTTTGCTGCCTGCAGTTCCAGCTGCTCCTCACTCCAGGGACACACCTGCAATGTGAACGCTGCCTCTGCAGCCTGGCCCCCCCGGCCCCCCGCAGCAAAAGAACCCCCAAATCTTAATTTTAAACCAGGTCCGGTCTATCGGCTTTGTTTTCCCTGATGGAGGCTGAAACGGAGAGGTTTGAAGAGTGGTAATGAAGGTGGTTCTCGCAGATCTCAAATGCGCTTTGGAAACCATTTTATGCCATGCAGATGCAGTAACGTGCTTTAGGTGAAAAAAAGCATGCGGCACGGGGATGATGAGGGGGGATTTTAAACAGTTAAGAAAGGGTTAGACAGAGGAGGGAGAAACATTTCCAGCTTTGTTATGCACCTCGTACTGTTACAAGGCTTAACTAACTAAATCGACAATTCAAAACAGATTTTGTATTTCTGCCTATTTTGCAGCTGCCAGCAATTTCTCCTTCTTTCTTAATGACAAGTTTGATCATTTAACGTATCATGACCGGACAAACTTTGCTCCCGTTACTAAATGTTACACGAGTCCTAGCCTTGTGTAATGGGGCTTTAGAAGAGCATTAATACCAACGTCATCACCTGCTACTGGTAAAGAAGCCATGAGTAGGCAGCAGCTCCACTCTGCACTTGCTTTCCATCACCGGAGTAGATGGTTGGGTGCTCGTGGGAACGTGGCTCGGGGTCGCCGAAGCACCACGCACGTCCCCTCGGGAGCCAGACCTGGGCTGAGAGCCATCGGGCAGAACTAGAGCCCAGCCCTCTGCGCGGATGTGGTTTACGCTCCTTCTGGTGAGCCGACCGTACCGGCTCCCAAACCGCGCCCGGTCGCGCTCAGCACGGTAAAGCCGTGCCTCCCGAGTACGGCCGCCGCTCCGTGCCACCACACCTCGGCTCTGCCCAACGTGGAAGCTCCAAACGCATTCCTTCCCCCCCCGTCCCCACCACCTGCCCCGCGGACGTCACTAACCAAGAGCGAGACCTGCAGGAGCAACGCGACTTGTGGCTCCCTGGTATCGCTGGGCGTCCTACGGAACCGACACGGGAACCTCCTGGCCTCGCCTCCTTCTCTCAGACACTAGGAAAAAGAAGCCTTACGCACGTCATCGTTACCGGTTACCCCTGGCTTTGGTGCCAGCTCCTTCTCCCGACCCAGAAAATAACTCTTAGACCTACAAGGCAAGCACCACAAATCACTTTTACACAAGGAAACCTTCCTGCCCAGCACCGATGGCCGACACGTGAACAGTTTGTGACTGGCATGAGGGAAGAAACTAAATTAAGCTCTATAGATTAGCAGAAAGTTGTTTTTAAATGCTCTCACAATAATGGAAAACACCAGTTCAGCCTCGGAGCTGATCTCGCGTTGCTTTTTCACAGCACCAGGCGCTGCCGGCGCGTGACCTGAGGCTGGGCTTCGCCGACTACGCAGTGCCGTTGTTAATAAGCAAGTGTATTTCCCTGAGCTCTGAAAAGTTTGTGAAAATATTTGTTTTTCCCACCTCTCCCCATACACAAAGGTTTTAATAAGCTTTAACAAACATACACGCAAACAAACCCTTAATTAAAAAAAAAAAAAGAAATGTATAATTCCTGAGCTGAAGGCTTTGAAGCAACTTTGACAATCCCCAGCCCTGCAGGTGATGATGGAAGAAAGCAGAACTGAGAGGAAGCCAGCGATGGCAACGTCCCTGCCCTGCAGGCACGGCCAGCGGCACCCATCCCACCGCACCGGGAACGCCAGGGACCTCCTCGCAGCCACGGGAGTTTCCTGCTCTTCCTTTCCGTTTCCGAACGGCAGGGAGAGATTCCTGCACGCTGGAGAGTCTGCAACACGGGTTTCTAACACGGGGTCAATGCTTAAACCCACCTCAGTCGCTGAGCACAGACCGGCCCCGACCACCGTGGTGGAAGCTCAGACCGCTGGGGACACTGCAACCGTGACACGGGGTCACTCCGCTCCCCCCGATTACGAGCGCACTGTCGTCTTTTTTGGGGGGGGGGGGGGGTGTTAACTTCTGCTGTAAACACACCTCGCGTGTAACCGTCCGTCTGCAGGTTCTTCAAGCACCGGGTCACGCGCTCGGAGCGATGGTTGGTTTATTCTTTTATTAAACCGTCATTGGTACTGGTTATTTGGTGCGTCCAAACCACGAGAGTAAAACTGCAAGCTAAGAGAGCAGCAACACAGCATATCCGTTGTAAACCATTTATTATTATTTTCTACCTCAGTCACTTACAGGAAAAAAGTCATAAAAAAAGAAAAAAAAAAAAAGAAAAGCACAGATGGACTATTTACAAAAAATGGGAGAATTCACAATAGCCGAAATGTTTGCAAATCATGCACACTAGGACAAGTTCACAAAAGCAAAGCAATTCATAGCAAAAAAACCCCAAACAAAATAATAAGAAGCCATACAGATTAAAAAAAAGCCTTTGCCTGCAGAAAAGGAAAAAGAAAACTAACCCAATTATTACATCGAGCATCTTTAATGAAATGAACAGCACAGCCGCGCATCGTCGAGCCTTTGACGCTGACATTTTAAACACGTGGATTAACAAACATCAAAATGCATTACAGTTCGACTGTAAGCATGCAATTTACTTCTCACAAACTTATAAAATGGGGAGAAACGCTTCAAGAGAACCAGAATTTAAATACGGTGCCTGTTTTCTACCCGCCAGGTCTTGTTAAAAAATAAAGCCAATGGATGGAGGCACCAGCGCGTCGGCTTGGAGCTCCCCTGCGATTTGGGTGGAGGCGCGGTACAGCTCAAGCGGGCTGGGGGAAAGCTCGCCCCCCCTGCCACAATTTAAGCCATTTGCCCCTGATTTTGCAAGCAAAGTCTGGCAGGAGAAGCGAGTGCACGGAGCACGGAGGGGCAGCGCGGCCGCCAGGCGCGGGGCGGTCAGTGGCTGGGCGCTGCGGGAGGCGCAG